TCGAAATTGTTTTTAAGAAATGGAGGACTTTTCTTCTAAGGTTATCACACAAATCAAGTGTGACTTCAAGAAGGTGGCCCCTCTATTTCTTTCCTGGAGGTGCCACAATCACTCACCTATTCAAAACTGGCTCAGATGATGCTGATTGCGTTTCTGGGTTGCTTCTCATCACAGTCACCACGCATGTCCTTCCTTTATCGATACATGCCACACTCCAGCATCTTCCAGCACGTCCCTGGTGTCTGAGGACCGCAGCGGAAGTGAACTGTAAATGTGCTGGCATGCTACTCTCCAAGGCATTCTTCAGGCTTCTCCAGAAGGGATGCCTTGTGGAGGACCTCATCGGTGACAACAAAAGAAGTCGAGACGTTTGGGGAGTAACTGTGCATCGAAGAAAGAGAACTCCCCAGACCTTGCTGCGTCACTGGGAAATGACTCCGGACTGAAACCATATCCTCGGGTCTCTGGGGTGCCTTAGTCCAACACGTAGTGGGCAGGTGATCACGGTTCGTGGTTGGTCCACGGAGACCGCTACACCTCCCTGCAGTTATTTCTCCAGCTCCCACATATCTCAAACATATAGGAAGGGAGTTCAGATGACGATAGGGCAGAAAAGAAAAGGACGCAAACCTAAAACGGGACCCCAAAACGCAGGGCACATGTCACTCTCCTGCCCCCAACACGCCATGCCACTTTAGTATGAAGAATGTACTTTTAGGATGAAGAATGTACTTTTTCTGTCCTCGGATCGTCTCTGACTTACTGGTTTTAAAAAATATAATAAGAGTTTAGAACGCAATTAAATTATTGTTTTATTATTATATACTGTCATGTAATTATGTTCACCATTTATATTAAGTTTTGGAATAAAATACACCTCTGGATTCTTTTTTTTTTTTTTCAAATTTTGGGTTGCGAAATCAATTTAATGTTTTGTGACAAGTTAACAAAGAAATAAAACAAAATAGAAAATAATTAGAGTGCATTTCATTGCATGCACAAAATAAGGGTTAATATCGTTTTGTGAAACTTTTGTTTCTTTTCATATACAGCGAAATACAATAAAATGTTCAGTAATTCTTTACATTTAATACCATCTCATAGGGTAGAGAGCTTATGTCATGCCCATTTATTTTCAACATCATATTTGATTCCTGTTTGAGTCGGAGCAGATAGGCAAGCAGAGCTTTCAAGAAGAGCAGATACATGCAATTCTTCTGTGGGCCTTGACTACCTCAGATTGATTTTGTTTATTTCTTTAACAATGAAAATATAACTTAACTAAGTGTAAAATTATTTTGTCACAATATTTTCCCCGCTGTAGTTTTTGATCTATTGTCTTCTGGAGAACTCCAAGCTCTTATTTTCTGATTTTTTGATCATTTTTTTTTTCTGTGAACATGTAGAGTTTTTTTCCTCCTCCCTCTACCATCTTAATTACAATGTTTTGCTACCACGTGTCTAGGAGCGAATCTCTTTTCTTTCATTCTGTCTGTACTTTCAGTTCATATACTCGATTTATTTCAAACTGCCTTTGTAATGATCATAACTAGTTCTGTGCTACACTAAAGGCTGTCCCAGTTGTCTCTCAATCTTTCCCTTTCCTTCTCAAAATGACCAGTTGTAAATCAGCATCAAAACATTGAGTTACATTCCACCATGCCTAACACACCTCAGCAGCTTCTAGACAAAAGCATAACCCGACCATCTGAGGGATTCGATGTTGTTTCCAAAGGCATTTTGCTGACAAGCTAAACCACTCAGAAGTCAGCTGTGGGGACAGCCTGTGTCCCGTCTCAGATTAAGAGCCCATGTGGAACTCGCACACACTCTGTTCTGTTCCTCTGTCCTTGGCTGGGTCTCGTCTGTCTTTCCCTGGCCTGAACTCCTCTCACGCCCCTCCCCCTCACTGACTACACACTTGCCCTCTTTCTGGCCCAGGTGGATGGACTCACCTTCAGAGTTTGGCACAAGCTGCCCTCTGCCTAGAAGCCTCTTCTCCCAGACCCTCTCCTGACTGGCTTCTGGTCATTTGAGTTTTGCTTAAATGTCGCTTCCCTACCTGACCATTTATAGTCATATGCCTTTATGTCATCCTACTGTGTTTTATTCTTAGAATTTATCACTATTATATATTTTCTTGCTTTTGGATGTTTCCTCTCTGTCTCTCTAGATGCAAGAAAGGACCTTATCTATTCCACCGATTGGACTATGAAGTCTAGAACACTTCCTGAGCGATAAAATGCTCCCCTAATTAATGAGATCTAAAATTAAAATTATTTTGGCTTTATATTTGAAATTATGTGCACATATATTTTGTAGCTTCATAATCTTAATTCCAAGATGCAATCATTGGACTATATGTATTTATCTAAGGCAAATTACACTTTCTTTTGCAATTATTTTTTCTCATCAAAACTACCGCTAACTTATGTTTAATATTTTGTCTTTTATATAACATCCACACCAGGACCACTTATGTGATTGGTATCTGTGTATAATTTGTAAAATTATATTTTAAGCTCTTAGTATTGGTTCTAAAAATTCTACAAACATCATCTCATATCTGTTATTCCATGCTGTGTATAAGAAATTAAAAGGGAATTTTTTCTTTACTTAAAACTATGTTTTCTTGGCCAAATACATACACACACACACTATTTCCCTAAACATGCCTTGCTTCCATGAATTTTAAGATAAACTAGTTCAAAATTATAATAATCACATCCTCATAGGTGCTTGAAATCATCTAAGCATTCTTCTTTTAGGCAAGCAAATCATAATCAAATCACTTTCAGAATCAATGAATGTGAAGGGCCATCTCCAGAAAACAAATACACACACAAATATGCATATATTTTCGGTGGGTTCACGGACTCCACCGAGCTAGCTAGCCCATGTCCTTTCTTACAAGGGATGTGGTAAACATCACTGATCAGAGACACTTTAGCACTGACCACCCTCCTGAGCTGAGCTTCGGCTGAAAGCAAAGTCCATGGTGAATTTCTCCAGCCTGTTTGAATTTGAATCGGTATACTCATTCATGCTTGGATGTACGTAATCTTTAAAGCCCGGGGAGATAGAATAAATAATATTTATCTTTCCATTATTTCATGTACTTTAAGTCTTCGACTTTGAAAGAAAATAAATTTCTAGGTTCATAAAATAGTGCAATCAAATCCTTTATTTATTGTTCTCATTAGACCGAAATAATAAACCAAATGAACGAGAAAAATGTCAATAAAAGGTTTAGCATGAAACATTAACTTTCAGAAGATAATGTCAAGAATATTGTGAAAATACGCACATTGCTTGTGACTGAATTGCAGAAAGTCAACGCGTTTACCTTGGAAAAGCAGAGGTATTCATTGCCTTCGAGCTCCAGCTCAGGACCTTAGGCTGGGAGCCGATGGTCCTGCAGAGATGATCTCCTGGTTTTGTTATGAACGAAAATGGACAGATCATTCCGGAAGAGAGACTTAGGTCATTCCTATCTCAACCTGTACCTAGTCCATAGAGTATACGGAACACATTAATTCGTTCTGCCTGCCAGTCTTTGCCAGAGTGGAAAACAGATTCTAAATGAAAGAGTCTGAATTATCATATGGCCAAAGATAAGAACAGAATATTTAGAATTATAATTCACTTCACTAGTGAAAACTGAACACATTATCTTCGTTTGGGATTCGCAGTCATCTTTTACATATTATATTTAGCCAACAACCAAATTGGAACTTTTAATTAGGAGTCATTAAAATATAATTAGGAGCAAATAACAGAATGACAACGCTACAGAAATTCATAAAGGTCAAAGGAGGCACACTTTCAGCCACAGCAAGAAGTGTTCTTCCAGGAATTAGGGAGCGAGTAATGGCGACCACTTCGTTCCCCTCATTCACCCCCAAGGCAGATTTTCCAGGAGCGACATTGCTTTTCGACAATAATGATGATGATTATATTATAGGGATAGCTGTCAAAACCAGAGAGTGTACATTCTTTAGAGTCAAGAGACCCTCAAACCTCAATAAACACCGTTTGTAAAGGAACATAGCAAATTCCAACAGAGCATACACACGACGAAATTAATTCACTTATCGGATACAATTTTGGATATGCTTTTCCCAGAAGGAAGCAGAGGCCAACAGAGGCCATCTGCAGCTGTCATACCTGTGGAAGTGAAACGAGGCATTACAAAATTCACACAATACATGAACCGTAAGTGAGAAATGCTTTAATTGGTGGCCCAACATATAGATATTTATATGTATATATTTATATATATAATGATAAAAATCAGCTTGCATGAGGGTCATAGTTCTATCTACTTCGAAGTTATATCACACATACTATAAGCAATTTACAGAATTTGTCAAGTTTGCATATACAGGAATTGCGAAATGAATTAAAATACATTGAAATATAGAACGCTCAAAATGTATTTATATAAACCTCCCAGGAATGACAGGGATTGGCCATAATCAGCATTTGCCACCATTGAACAAGAACCATAATCAAGAAAAAGGAGAAAAATCCAAGGAAAAAAAAAAGGGGAAAATTAAAAAAAAAAAATTTCTTTTCTTATTTCTGATTTAAAATAATGTTCTCCTTGTTGCCTCGCAGTGTTGGTAATTTTGTTCTTGGCCCCAAACGGGGGTTTTCGTTTGATGACAGTTTATATTCTGAAGTCTTTTGATCACTGTTTGCTTCCTGCAGATAACGGGTCCTTTCGTAGGGAATCAATGGTATCCGTAGTAAATATTTACCATCCCCATCGCATTCAGGCCAACCCCTGAGCAGTCAGCAAGATGATGCTTTAAGCAGCCGCAAGAAAAGGAAAAAAAGAAAAAAAAAAAGATCTTGCTGGTAGAAAACATCCTATCACTGCACACTAATTCTCTTGAAAGAAAAGATCAATGACTCGCCCAAGAAACTATTATGAACAAAGCGTGTGATAGCCTCTTCGTGTAAGCTTCTGGAAGCAGGCGTCCTTGGGTAGGAAATTAGAGTACAGTGGGTACAGGGTGGTGCTTGGAGTTTAGGGTCAACTTTGCTGTCCGCTCCGTAGATTTTACAGGCGATTTGCTCTTTGCTTTAAGAAGAGAAAGTGATATTGGAAAAAAGTCAGCACTTTAGACTAAAGCAAAGCACCCTTCACAAAGCCACAAACAAGAAGCAGGACAGAAAGCCCGTGGCTTGTAGCTATCCTCGCACCTGCGGAAGAAGTTATAAGATATTCGCTCATCTTGAAGATATCCAACGCTCCTTATTAGGCTGTTTTAAACACACACACATATATATTTAATTAGCTCGCCAGCTTGGCTCTGGTGCCCATGAATGTCTTGGCATGCACTGCAAACAACAACACATACAAAGTATTTCAGTCCCGGGAAGTTCGTCTTGTTTGTTTTGTCTGTTTTCAAACAATGCCATTCCACAGGTGGGGACACCGGAGGGATGAATCCACAACCAACTCTTCCCTGCCCCTCCCCCGCCCCGCCCCGCCCCGAGGGAACCTTTCAGGATCATTCCCTAGAGTCATGGGGTTTGTTCCTGTCTTGGTACCTACAACCACGCCCCCTGGCTGCTGTCCGAGCATTTTCTTTTAGAGGAAGATCTTTCTCAGCTTTTAGCCTTGGAATCTGAGCACAAGTTAGTGCTATCTATCAAGAACTAGACATTTTTAAAGGGCTTGGAGAACAAGGGAAAGGATTATACTGTATTTTTGCAATTTTTCTTCAATTAGACAAATTTCATCTGATACGTTTCTACTTCTAAATGACGTATGAAGTACCTTTATTAGTAAGAAAACAAGAATGGACTCAGGCTCAAAGCATTTTTCATTCTTCTTTTCTAATTGGAGAAAACTTAAGTGGGTGTGAAGGACGTAAAGGTAGAGAAATTCAACCCTTTGGCTATTTTGGCTAAATCGCTCTCAGGTCCACAATGGCAATGCTAAAGACCGAGAAACACACGTGGTGTCAAAAGGTCGCTGCAGGGTCAGGGTTTGGGGGCCTCGAGGTGCCCCACGTGGCTGTTTGGCGTTAAGGTTCTTTAACGCTGGCTCTGATTCACCTTGGTTTGGCAGGCGAGCCACACACTTAATGCCCCATCCCCTCCCAGAAACCTAGTGACTGAAGGACCATTGGTGGCGATGGGTCCCTGGAGAGTGTCCCTGCTCTGAAGGCGGGAGCTAAGGTTCAAAAATGCAGAAGCGACAGTGCAGTCCGCGGGCGGCTGGCGGTGCGAAGACCGCGCCCACACGGTCTGTGCGGGGAGCGCTCGCATCGCAGCTCGCATCGCAGCCCGCCCCGCAGAGCGCCTGCTCTGTTCTCTTCCGAACAGAGACTCTTCACCAAGGGATTCGGTTTTTGAAAAAGGAAAAAAAAATCAATTACACGGCTCCTTAAGTAGCCGATGGCACCTGACACAAAGTATGTCCGTCTGCTATTGAAAAACGTTTAAAAATGCTAAAAGCAATAAAATGAGGTAAAAGGATTCACTCTTTAAAAAACGCATTTCGGGAAATAACAGTTTCCTCATCAGCACAGGCGGTTTGGCTCAAATGTGCTGAAACTGTGTATTAACCTTCCGCTTTCTCCAGTCACCAGCCCTTCATGGCAGACCCAAGACCCCATCATTCCTAGGAGGTATTTAGGGAACAGCTACCTTGCTTTGACCCAACGTGTCCTACCACGCTACGTCCAGCATGTGCAAGTTAAAACAAAATTTGGTTGGAAAGAATCTAATTACACAGAGTAAAGAATATTTTAAGGCGACTAAACTCCGAACTGCCATCTTCCAGGCAATGTGGCCTTGTCACAAAGCCCTGTCCGCCCAGACCATTCATCTGCGCTAGGCGCATGCATTTCCTAGCCTATTTTTAGTAAATGAAATGTATTTATCGGGACAAGTATAAAGTTTTTCTTTCCTGCACAGTGAATTCTAACGCAAATCTCCAATCGTCTTTTCTTTCTATAGTTCATTTATGACTTGAACGAAGAGATATGTACTCCTTTATCTTTGGAATCCCAAAGACTTAGTGAAATCTGAGAATCTAAAATGCTATATAATTTGTCCTGCGTAATTTGAACAAATAATCATCACAGCCATTTTCATTCAAATGTACATTATTCTGAATGTAACAGTAATCTGAATATACATGTGTTTATCAAACATGCTACAGTCTATTCCACAGAAAGTTTAAATCATTTATTTATTTTTTTGTAAAAACAAATTTTTTTTTTGTAAAAACACATCCTGCTCTATTCTCATGGTTACAGGTAGATTTTTTTTTTCTTTTTTTGGTGAATGAGAACCACGATTGCATCAGTCGTCTTGAGCTCTAATTTTCTCTGCTGCCACTCACTTCTAAGATCCCGAATAAGATGCCCACTTCTTCCACGTGTTCTAAAATGAGCATAATGACTCTTTGAGCATCACTGTTTTTTCTTTTTATACCAGCATGCCAGACATTGTGTTGGAATAGGATCACCTGTTCTGCTTTATTTGGCCCAGCCCAGGCCGCAGACCTGTCATCCCTCTAACACGACATTGAGTTTAAGCAACTCTTGCCCTCAGATAACCTGCCGTTGACTGTGTCCGCTCCCGCCAGCCAGCTGTCGTCTGTCTGCTCTGAGCGGCAGCAGCGTTCTGGCCTTGCCTCTCCTATGGGTCTGGCATGGCTTCCACTGACCTGTGATTCATTATATTCCTAGCTCGTCTCACGGATTCCACTGTAAGCTCGTTAAAGGCAAGAGGTGAAATTTCAGCAATTATTGTTCATTACTCTCAACGTCGAAAACAATACCTTGCGAATTTTTAAGTGTTTGGCCCCGACGCAAAATACCCTGTGAAGAAGAAAAGGAGATGCTCTTCTCCAGATGATGAGATGGCCGTGTAGAGACGACCGTGTCCCCCGACGGCCGGATGAGGGGTAGCCTGAGGGAGCCTAAGGAGTTCTCTGTCAGAATGTCATTTCAGCACGACCTTCGACTTCTACTTAATAACGATGCCCTTCGTTTGTTTTCTTTACGCTTCAAGATTTTCACAGTGCTCTCTCAGGTGTAATTCCCTTGCCTTTGTAAAGCAGGGAAGGTATTTTCTCCATTTTGCAAATGGAAAAGTCTAAGAAGTCTCAGACGTCCAAGGAGCGTAGGAGCGCGGCCTCCCATTTTTCTACCTTTTTTTGTACCTGATGCCATAGCCAGTCACATCGCCGTCCCCAAGATGTGGACGGCAAGCGTTCCTCAAGAGAGTGTCTGTGACAAAGGAGAGTCTGGCCAATAAGAAATATGAAACAAAACAAAACAAAACACCTCCAAAGTTTTATCTTCACTAAATTATTACCTTAGGGAACAACAGAAAATTCCATCTATTTCTTTAAAAAAGACAAAGCAATAAAACCATCACGACACAGCAGCGGAGACGGTGGCCCGCCCAGCGATCAGGTAGAGACGGGGTACAGTTACACTGCCCTGTCACGAGCATCTGCCACGGACAGTTACGTCACCACCCACTGAACTCAGCTCAGCTTCCCGGCCTGGGAGGCCCTGCCTGGCCCTGTCCTCTTTCTGTCACCACTTGGAGGAACGTGGCTCCCCTCAGTGCCTCCCTTCCGAAGCCATTCCATCTGTGGCACTACGTCTTCTCCGCCGTACCTACGACCACGAGGCTAGAAGGCTCTTTAATGACGCTGTCCCCCTGCCTCCTGCGAAGGTCAGTCTCCAAAACGACAGAACTGGACTGGGCATCTACTGTGCCTGGGAAGACACGGTAGGCATTCGGTGCGCGTCGCCTTACTCCGTCCTCTCTACAGCCCTGGAGACTCCACCTACGGACCAGGAAAATGTGACTCAGTGACCTGCAGTGACTGCCCCTAGGTTCCAGGGATGACAGGCAGGAAAGCGAAGGGACAGGAACAGTCCAGTCACCTGGAATATAGACCAGCTCCTTTGTGAAACTCCCCGAGGCAAGTGCCCTGGCCCCATCGTCGCCACGTCTGTCAAATCAGGATGCGAAGCTGTTGCTTACACGTGCGCTGATCTTTCCAGAGAAAATGCACTGGCTACAACACGCTTCAGGGAAAAGAATCGTTTGATACAAAACTTCTTTTCCCCAACTCTGAGCTAAGAAATACTGAATAAAAACGTCATCAGCCTCTCAGTTTTCCTAGACATTTCTAGTAAGTAAAGTTTGCTCTGCTCTGTATAGTGTACCAACTGTCATAATATTTTGAACTTTTCATATAGACTTTTAGAGCTTAAAGTTTCTTCCAAATTCATTTAGATGTTTCAGTGAGAGGTGGCTCCGCCATTATTCTTACATGTCTTCTTTCTAAGAACTTCGCTTTTCCAAGCTTTTCATTCAAATTTGACAGCCTGGGACCAAGAAAGGTTAAGTGCACCAGGAGTGAGTAGCAGGGAGAGAGACAACCAGAGCATCTGTCTTCCAAGAAAGTTCCCCTGAACAGGATACGAGCATTTCATTCAAAGCACTAAGATGAGTGTTGAGACGTGCTCTAAATTTATCCCATCTAAATGTTACCAGCTCTTCAAATACCCACTTTCCCTGGGCTGTGACTCTGATGGCTTAATTTTGTATGGAAGTACAATGCGTAGTTGGTTTAGCTTTGGGGAACAGTCATAATTCATGGCAGCTGTCTGTAGATAGGGGTACGATTCTTGATAGGTTTTCTCTTCTTCTTCTTCTTCTTTTTTTGTTTGTTTGAGTATCCAGTAGAATCCAAAGAAGCAAGAAAAGGGAAAGGAAACAATTTCTCTCACACCGAGGCTCTGTGGTCTGACTTTAGAACCTTTATGTAAAAAAGGTGAAGACTAGCGATGCTTATCGAATGAACAAACCTAAAAATGGAAATCCTCCGATAATAGAAGAAGCAACAATCCAGCATTTTTTTTTTGTCTGTGAAGCAGCTTAGCTTCTAGAGAATGGAGTATCGATACAGCCAGGAACAGACCAGCCTTCGACATAGTTCTCTTTCATTGCAGAGTACAGATGCCAGCTTTAAGGAATAAAAACAGCTGGCAAGAGAATCTGAGCTAGTTTTTAATGTAATTTTTATTCGGGTTCGTA